CACACACACACACACACACACACACACACACACACACACACACATAAACAGCAAAGAACCGATCACGGGCTCATAATATAGAAGTCACATGATGGAGAAATCTCTCCCCAACACCCGTCCCCCATTTACTTTTTGAAGTTTTTCCCAATATATCCAAGAATTTCGCCTCTGACAATGGAATGGGAATGCCACCAAGTTGGCACCAACCATAAGGGGGAGGAGCGTGGGTGAGTACTCATTGTATTCCTTCGGACTTGCCAGTGGAGTAGGAGCAGACTGATGCTCCCCAGAATGGAAAAAAAGCCAGAACCCTTTTTTTTTTCTTTTTTTTTTTTTTTCTTTTTTTTCTTTTTTTCTTTTTTGTTTTAAACAGGTCCTTATGGTCCTGGCTCCATTTCTATTCTGGGGAGCATCAGTCCGGTTCCTTTCCTTTTTTTTTTTTTTTTAACAGAACCTCACGGTTCTGGCTCCTACCATTCTGGGGAGCGACAGTCCGGTTCCTATTCCCCTGGCAAGTCAATATGGAATACATCAATGACTCACACACGCCCCTCCCCATTATGGCTGAGAGGCCCGAGTAGACAGCATTGATTACTTCCCTGAGGAAGGATGTACCACCTCTCACCCCTGCCTAATCTAGCCTGCACTAACTCTGCCTGCCAATCTATCTGATCCCAGATCTGCTCCTCTCAGCTATGAAGCTGTCAGGTCTCTATGATTATACAAGAGCATTCTGGAACACTTATATGCCTTTTGAAGCCTCTAAAATTCTATAACAGCTTTTGCCTTGTTTCTGTCTAAGCCATAACCCTACGCCCTCGCTCTTAAGTCTATCCAAACCCTAAACCCTAAACCCTTAACTATAACTTCTATTTTGCTTAAACATCAATCCACTGACCTCCACTTTCTCTCCCATTTCCTTTTTTTAATTTGGCCTGAGCTAATTTTTCCCTATCAAACCTTTTAATCCCAGATCTGCTCCTCTCAGCTATGAAGCTGTCAGGTCTCTATGATTATACAAGAGCATTCTGGAACACTTATATGCCTTTTGAAGCCTCTAAAATTCTATAACAGCTTTTGCCTTGTTTCTGTCTAAGCCATAACCCTACGCCCTCGCTCTTAAGTCTATCCAAACCCTAAACCCTAAACCCTTAACTATAACTTCTATTTTGCTTAAACATCAATCCACTGACCTCCACTTTCTCTCCCATTTCCTTTTTTTAATTTGGCCTGAGCTAATTTTTCCCTATCAAACCTTTTAATCCCAGATCTGCTCCTCTCAGCTATGAAACTTGTCGCGTAAGTGTGTTATGTGGGAGGCATCCGGGATGCTTGTAGTGTTCTCTGAATTCTATCTCCTCAAAAGCCTATTTACCTTATTTCCTTATAAACCTTAAACCCTATACCAAAAAAACCTTCACCCCTATCATTACAATCGTTTGTAAGACTATCTTGAAATCACTCTTTTCGTATAGTATATAGAAGTCTGGTTCCTTTTTTTCCGTTAATCTTAAGCCCTCTTCTCAGCTACAGATCCCTCTTCCCCATGTGCTTCCCCTCGCCCTAGACCTTCCCGGTATTCTGCGATCAGTGCCCTCTTCCTCTCCATCTGAAGATCAAATGCCCCCCTTGGATTTTTGTTACCGCTCCTTCCCCTAGTACCCTCTGTTTGAAGCGTTTCATGATTTCCTCCTCTTGTCCCGGCTGCTGTCGTACCTGATTCCTTACTACTTTCCACTGGGCTTTAAGGTGAGTTTCTGTTAAGTTTAGGAAGATTTCCTTAGCTTCTTGTTTATGCATTGTTGTTCCTTCTATCGTGATTTGGCATCGACGCTTCCAAATAGTCCACAGGGTATATAGTCTTACGATCTGGAACATATGCTTCTGAAAGGGCTGCCATTGCTTGGGAACTCTCGAACCCAACATTAAGGAAATCGTTGAGTCTGGGAACGCTATCTCTGTAACTTGCCTCCATGTGTCCTTAGCCACGTCCCAAATCCCTTGCGCCTCCTCACATTCAATCAAGCAATGTGTCATTGTTCCCGGAATTCTTCCGTGGCATACCCTGCACCACTCCTGTTCCTCCGTCCTCTGCCCTCTGCTTCTCCGTTGGTTAAGCCAGACATTTACTGGTAGCGCAACATGGGCTATGAGCCATTGCATGCTCCTGACCGAGCCCAGCCGTATGGTCCCTAGGCTCGTCCAGGGGATGGATGGCAATTGTCCTCGTGTAACCCCTTCCCTCTTTTCCCATCTCTTTAGCAAGGTGGGAGTAATAGAGGAGGAGCGTCTCCTCAATCTATACCCGGTTCCTATTCCACCGGCAAGTCAGAATAAAAATTACATCATGAACCCACATACGCTTCCTTCCATCTGGCTGAAGGAACCCTGACCAGCATTGATTACTCCAGCACCGTGGAGGATCGACTGTCAGCTTGCCGTGCTTCTCCCTTTCCTCTCAGGTCCACTATAATGGCCTGTCAGATAGAACATAAATGGCAAGAAAGGGCCTGGATGCTACAACGGCTGCCAATTCTGTCTAAACTTTGATCCCCGCCCATGTGCCTCGTGAGATCCCTACCAGTCTGAAGACTCTGAACCCTATTTGCCTTGATTGTCTAAACCCTAAACCCTAAACCCTCAGCTATAGTTTTAACGAGACTCCTAATTCATAAACCCTAGAACCTAGGTAACCTTGTGTCTTTTCTTAATTATGAAGGCTCTACTTCAGGACTACCACTGTTGCTCTCCTACTCATGCTTTTAAAAAGCCACACTTGAACCCCAAACCCTATCTAAACCCCTTGAATCTTTGAACCCTAAACCCCTTTTTAATCTCTATCCGTCTGCTCCCTGCAAATCTTGTTTCTGCTCCTCGCCTGCTCCTAAACCCTAGACCGCCTTAATCTATTTTTCCATCTATTCCCTGTGAAAACTCTGTTGTCGCCTGCCATAAGTGTCTCTCGGATCTTCATCTAGGCCCAGATTGGAGAGGAATCTTCGTGTACCTGAGTAATCATCTGGCCTACGGACTTGACAGAGTTATGCCACTCTTTCCATCTTAAAGCGTGCCCATTTAGGCAAGCCACTTTGTCATCAACCAACCAGACCCGTCTGAATTTGGCAAGTGTCACCTGTTCTGTCTCTGGACTGTTTTGCACCCACCTTCCTTCATTGACATAGGATTTCCGCTTCAATCATCT